GCACAGCACCATACAGTTCTGTTTGGGAGTGAGCCCCAAGATCAAAGGCACTGGCAAGCATTCTGTATAGACAAGTTACAGGAAAGCTCCTCCTCTAAGACTCAGCTACCCTGGATTATCTGAGAAGGCCCAGTGGGCAAACACAGGACTTCTGTAAGGAAAGCAGGAAGTTCAGAAGAAGCTGCTGCCAGGACTGAGGCAGTACAATATGGCCAGGCACCCAACGCCTTGAGAACCCCCAGAATTCTAAGGTGGTAAGTGTATGCTGTCCAAGTCTTTTAAGTTTCCATCTGTCACAGCAGCAAGGGGTCAACTCAACAGCAATGAGAGTTACAACAATAGCCTCTGAAGAACTATGAGCACTCAGCCACGTGGCACTGCCCTTTCCCCAGCTGTGTGGCCTTGGCCTTCTTGCCCTTGTTTGCCAGGACACCCACCTCCAACCCCTGCCCTCTGGCCTTAGTGACCCAGTTTAACTTGCTCCCTAGCACTGTGTGGGGATTATGGTATCAAGTTCCCTGCCCTGACACAGGCAACTCATTCAGAAGTGTATTGTGTGTGGGGGGGAGGGGGGGCACATTGGGAAGGATTATGGGAAAGAACAAAGTCCAGACCTTGTCCTCTATGTACTGGAGGAAATGGTCACGTACACAGACATGCGTCCATCTTCTAGCCAGTCAGAATGTTCAAGTATGGTGGGACAGGAAGGGAAGCTACACCAGACCCGGAGCTCCTAGAGAAGATTTCCTACAGCTACACCCTTAGTCTACACGCCCTAGCAGTACAGTGTGTGCTGAAGACTCATCTCCCTGTACCACAGAGATGGGCAGCCACTTTGCAAACAATCTAGAAGTGCCTTGAGGTCAGTTTCTTTCAACAAGGCACCATGCCTTTGTTCTACAACACAAGCTTGCCTTGCACATGTATCCCCAGGGCAGTAACATTGTTCATTTGTAAGGTAGGTCCTTAGTTAGGAAAATGAGCCAGATCCGATGCCATATGCATTCCAATTGGTAAGTCAACTGACAGGCCGATGCTCACCCTATTCTGCAGACAAAAACCAAGATAAGCAGGCCCCATAAAGCCCAAGCCTTTTCTATCACATAGGGCTGTTCCCTCAAATGGGAAACCAGGGCTTGCTGCAATAGTACAGGTGATGAGGGAGGCAGCTGGATGGATAAGAACAAAGATACATAGAAAGTATCGAAATGAAACCTCTCTCTTTGCATACTAACAAAAAAAAAAGAAAAAAAGAAAAAGCAAAGAAAACACAGATCTGATAAAGCATGTCTCCACTAGGGCAGGCTGGTATGGATAGCATCTAGCAACTGAAGCAAAGAACAAACCTAGATAATGGTCTGGGTTTGAGGACTTATGGGACCCTGATAGGGTGGAGAACCCTGCTCTATCAGGGAGCCATGAACAATTCTCTTTCCCTTTCCAGACTTCAGTCTTGTCTTCAATAACCAAGCTACAAGCCAGTAGGATGCCAGACCCCTTCTAAGCACAAAGCCCCAGATTCTCTGGGTTCTGCCCAGGCATGCCCCTCCAAGGACCCCTCCCCACTGCTGCCCTGGGACCTCCTCCTACCCAGGGCTTTGTTACCCAGGAGCTGTTGCCAGGTGCTCTGTGGCCCCCTGAGAATTCCCTCACCCTTTCCTACCCATCAGAGTCAAGGCTGATGCAACTGCCTGCAACCAGCCGCCTCACTCCTCAGCTCAGGCCCCTCCGCACTAGCAAAGAGTTCCAAGCAGCTCCACCCTTGCTCCTGGCTCCCCATAGGACGCTGTTTTTTTGAGAGGAGGTGAGGCTGCCATTTAAGTCTGAGTAAGGGTCAGGGATAGAGAGAATAACACGCATGACGGACACATGAAAACACAGACCCACATGTGTACTGGACAAGGCTCAGGGTCCAAAGATGTAAGGTGGCAGGCCTCCATGGTTGATGACCCGCCATAAAGCGACGATGCACAAATGCTGAGAAGGGCATGGTAACTAACTATGGAAAGCAGCACCCATTCAGCATGACTGAGTCAAGATGGAGGGGCTGTAGCTGGGTGGGACCCTGGGACAGAAAAAGGGAGTGCAGACCCACAGCTGCACCATGGGGAAAACTATGAGCCTGGTACTCCACCCTGGACTGTCTTTGCAACCTTTCTGATTATTCCAAAAGTTTACTTCAAAATACCAAATTAACTGGGTGGTGCTGGTATACCTTTAATCCCAGAACTCAGGAGGCAGACCTCTGTTTGAGGGACCCTGGTCTACAGACTAAGTTCCAAGACAGCCAGCGCTACACAGAGAAGTCCTGTCTCAAAACAAAAACAAAAATAGGGGCTGGAGAGATGGTTTAGCAGTTAAGAGCACTGGCTGCTGTTCCAGTTCACACCAATGCACATAAAATGAATTTTAATAAATTATTTAAAAAACAAAGAAATAAAAAAATAAAAGCCAAATTCGAGGGAAGGAGCAGCATGGGCACTGCACCACAGTACACTGTCTCAAAAATAAAACATCTATGGGAAAGAAACCAGAGATACTGTTTAAGTGGTAGAACGCTTGCCTAGCATGTATGAAGCCCTTGGGTCAATCCAGAATTACCTACAAAGGGTATGGTGGTACACATCTGTCATCTCAGCACTTGTGAGGTAAAGGCAAGAAGACTCACTCCTGCAAGTCCATCCTCAGCTACACAGCCAAGTTCAAGGCAAGCCTGGAATGAGGAGACTCTCAAAAACAAACACATAAACACATACCCCTCTATGGGGTGGAGATGTAGCTTCAATAGCCTATTTAATACAAGGCATCCAAATGCGATCCCTAATACATACCAGAAAGAAAGAAAGAAAGAAAGAAAAAGAAAGAAAGAAAGAAAAAGGAAGGAAGGAAGGAAGGAAGGAAGGACGGACGGACGGACGAACCCGTGGACAACCAGTGATATTCTGAAGGCACACCAGTGAACACAGAACACATCCATCCACTTCTGTATTAATAGCAGTCTTTATGTAGAGACTACTGTGTCTGTGATAAGATAGCTTAAGCACACCCCACACAGACTTAATACAGCTGGACAAGTGAGGACACTGGCAGAGGACAGAAGAGTGCCCACTCCAAGGGAAGGTGGTCAGGTCCCAAGGACTTCCTTCTAGTAACTTTCAAAATCAGTTTCCCCCACCTGCTCTGAATATGGCATTTTTCCTTTGACAATAGCAGGGGCTGGAACCCAGAACCTCAAAAGCAGTACTCTACCATGGACCCACAACCCCAACCCATTATTATTTTTATTTTTTGAAAATCAGGGTCTTGGTAAGTTCCCTAGACAGACTTTCTAGCCCAGGCAAGCCTTGAACCTTTTTTTTTTTTTTTTTTTTAATTACACTCTTATTCGACAAGTGTTGGTGGTACATGCCTTTAGTCCCAGCACTCAGGAAGCAGAGGCAGGCAGATCTCTGTGAATTCGAGACCAGCCTGGGCTACAAGAGCTAGTTCCAGGACAGCCTCCAAATCCACAGAGAATCCCTGTCTCCAGAAACAAAACAACAACAACAAAAAAATACACTCCTTTTCAGTAACACAGACATGTCACCACTCAAGTGTGGTGGAAGTCAGCCAACAACTTTCTGGCGTTGCTTCTCCTGGGATAACTCAGACTGTCAAGTCTAGAGACCACCACTCAGCACTCAGGCCCTGACCTTGACTTCCAATACTCCTGCTGGCCTGGCTTTTGAATCTTTTCTTAAAAACACATCGAGGCCAGCCAGGATAACCTTGAATTCATGATCCCTTCTGCTTCCACCTCCCAAATACTGGCATTATAGGTATGCACCAACCCCAGTTTATGTGGTGCTGGGGCAGAACTCAAGGTTCTTGAGTGAAATAGGCAGGCATTCTACCGAGTTCCATCTCCAACTCTTAATTTGGGTCTTGATTTAGTCTCTCAGCTGTATCAGGCAGGCTGACTTCCAGACGGAATGTCCAGACATGGATGGCCACGGGTGGGAAATGAGATTCATGCATCAGCCTAGGGAAGGACCATGGGGCTTCTTTGACTAAATGGAATATAAACATCCAATTTCAGACAAGGCCAGGAGAAAATTATCTAGTGAGGTCAGCAAGAGACCAAGGACTGAAAGGAAGTCAGGGAAAGGGGCAAAACAATGAACCACCTGGTAAGAGAGCTAAGAGGTCGTCGCAGGGGCAGAGCACCAGCCTGTAGAATGAGGAAAATGAAGATGCCCACAAACAAAAACCTTGGAAGGTAGGCCACACAGTGTGATCACACGGACATGCTGGATGGTTAAGGGCCCGGGTGGAGAGATTCAAATAGGTGAAACGATTCGGTGGGTAAAGTCTGTCAAACATGACAACCCGAGTTCCAACTCTGGGATCCACATGGTGGTAAAACAAAACAAAACAAAACAAAACTTCTCAAAGTTGTCCTCTAACCGCCACACACACACACAATAAAGGTTTAAAAAGTGTTAACTAGGAGCCCTGTGATTAGGACTTCGTGGCCTACCTCCCATAGCTACTCTATTTGTGCGTTTATACACATTTGGGGGGCATTTTCCTGCTGCTGCTGCTGCTTTAATTCGCTTAAAATCGCTAAGCTAGCTTGAAATCGCCATCCCACGATGGGCCGACCCACGAGGGCTCACAGGAGGCGACGTCGGTTGGGACCGGTGGCGCATTCGTGAAGCATTCGTGAGCTAGCGAATCAGGAGAGCGAGTGCTGAGGGTCCGGGCGACATGGCGGGCCCAGGGTCGCCTCCGCCCCGTCGGGACCACGCGGGGGCGGGGCGGGGCGCGGAGGGATCCGGGAGGCCCGCGCTGCGCCGCCCCCGGTATATTTGTCCCCAGGCCCCGGGGCCGCCTCATTCTCCACCTTCTCAGAACCATTTCTCCTAACGCTCCCGCCACGCCGCCTCCGCCCGCCCAGCCCCCGCCATGGCTCTGTAGCCGTGATCCTGTGGTGCCCCCGGCCCGGCTTCCGCGCTCACCGCGCCTGCACTCTCCGCTCCCGCCGTCTGTTCAGCCGAGGCCGCCGTCGCCGCCTCTCCTTTCCGCAGCCATGGAGTGAGTAACCGCTCGCCCCTCCCTCTCCAACCGCCTTTCCCGCCCTTTCCCAGAGCTCGCGGGGCTTCACGGACCAGCCGCGTGGGGGTGGGGAGACGGGGAGCCAGGAACCGCGGCCGCGCAGGCGCAGAGAGGGACAATGGTGGCCGGTGGGTCCGCTGGGCATGCGCGCTGGGCTCGAGCCGTGGAGGAGGGTATGCTTCCGGAGGGTTGGGGGTGGTGGTTTAAAGACGGCTCGCTCGCCTTCGCTCCCGCACGCTGCTTCCCAGTGCCTCTCCCTCCCTCCCTCCCTCCCTTCTCCCAGGATGCGATCCACACACCGTGGCGCACGCGCACTAACCTACCCGAGGCCGGAACTACGAAGGGCAGCTCTAGCGGCGTTACAATGGCCCGCTTTCAGGGTGCGAGCATGCGCTTTGACGCAGAAAGGAAGGGTGGGGTTTAAGTCAGGCCGATTCCTTGAGGCGCTGACTCAGGCCCCGCTTCCCTCCAATCAGGCACCTGCTGGGGCGGGGAATGCTTAGATTGACAGGGAAGACAAGGTTTAGGAACGTCTTTAAGGAGGTGGAGCTAGCACCGCAGGGGCGGGGCCTCTGGGACTTGCTAGTTGAGGGCGGGAACCGAGGTAGACAGGCAAGTGGGCGGGGCTTCTTGTAGAGTCTGTGGAAGTCGCCTAAATTTTTTTCTATTTTTTTGATTTAAATTAGAAACAAGATTATTTTACATGTCAATCCCAGTTCCCTCTCCCTCCCCGTCACCTAAAAATTTAAGGGAAGAGTGGGATTTGAGTGTGTGACACTGATGAAGGGCCCAGGCATGGCAGAATCCCTCTGGGAATCCCTGTGGGTCGGTGGACTCTAAAGGGTGTAAACTAAAGGGAATATTGATGTGGAAGGGGCATGGCTAGAAGACAATTCCCTTGGGATTCAGATTTTTATGAAGAGGGGCTGGAGGTGATTCCCCTAGGGAAACAATAGGTTTCTGTGTTGAGGGAGGAAATGGGGCTTGTGAGTTCAAGAATTCTCTTGGGAATGTGTGGAGCTCTGGAATTTGGGGAGAGAAGTGAAGTGTGAGGGGCCTGTAGGTCAAGCAGCTTTTAACCCAACCCAACCCCACCCCCTTTTGTCTCCTTCACAGGTCCTCCATCTTTGTCTTGCTGCCTGTTGTCACCCAGCTGAACAATCTCCCAAGCTGCCTCCCCACTATTGGTGCAGCCTCCATCCGTGCCCTGCGCCTGTGTCTCAGCCATGTCACTCCTGGCGACCCTGGGGCTGGAACTGGACAGGGCCCTGCTCCCAGCTAGCGGGCTGGGCTGGCTCGTAGACTATGGGAAACTCCCCCTGGCCCCTGCCCCCCTGGGCCCCTATGAGGTCCTTGGGGGAGCCCTGGAGGGCGGGCTTCCAGGGGGGGGAGAGCCCCTGGCAGGTAAGAACAGGTAGAGAGCAGAGGTGGGTTGAGCTTGAGGCAGGGAGGGAGGGCAAGAAAAGGAAGAATGTATTCATTCCCAAGATGAGTACTGAGGGCCTCAGCTCTGTTCTGGGTGTTCAGGGTTCAGAGCAAAGGGTCCCTAAGCTCATGGAACATTAGGGAACAGCTGTTGAACTGAAAGTGATGAAAGACCTAGTTGAGAAGTCACATAACCTCCAAGTAGACAGACATATGAACTGGGGGCTAGGGGATGAGAAGAAAGGAGCCATGATAAGGCCTGAGGTGCTTCCATCTAAGAGACTCTAGGGCAGACATCATTCTCTCTTAACTATAACAGCAATTGCAGCAATAATAAGTAGCTGGCCCTGGTGGCACATACCTATAGTTCCCCCTTTCAAGAGGCTTCTCATCCTCTTGAGCCCATGAGTTTCAGGCCAATCTAGGCTTCTCAAAAACAGAAAACAAGAATGAATAAAGATGGAATGTGAGAGACAGAGAGCAAGAAAGAGAGATCCAGAGAGAGTGAGAGAGTGTGTGTGTGTGTGTGTGTGTGTGTGTGTGTGTGATCTTAGCACCCTGGGGGAGAGGAAGAACCATCTAAAGTTAAGACTGCCCTCAGCTATGTTCAGGGCCAACCTAGACTACATGAGACCTTGTCTCAAATAAATAAATGAGTAAACGAGAGAAAACATAGGTATAGGGGTATAGTCAACCAGCCCTACAGATAAGACAATGGTTTCAGAAGTAGTAGCTGACTTGAGTGGATCATTAGTTGGTTGACTGCTTCACTAAGTGGTTAGCCTATTATTCCATTGCTTAGTTGGTAAATTAATTGGTTGGTTGACTGACTTGACTCATTGATTGGCTTGTTCACTGATTGGTTAGTGAGTTGATTAGTTTATTAACAAGTCTGGTGAACTGTTTGATTGGCTGATTGGTTGGTTGACTGGTGAACTCTGGTTCATTGCTCACTTCAGTGGGTTACTTGGTTGGCTACTGAACTGTATGGTTGGCTGATTGGTTAGTTGCCTCATTCACTGTTAGTGGATCAGTTTGTTGATTGATTGGTGAAGTATGGTTGGCTGATTGATTGTCTGACTTTTTCATTGATTAATGAATTGGTTGGTTGGTTGATTGGTTGGATGGTTTGTTACATGACTGACTGGTTTGTTGGTTGCCTGATTCATTGGGTAGTAGGTTGGTTGGTTGGCTGATAGATTCTATGGTTCACTCATTTGTTAGTTAATTCATTGGTTCGTGTCTTGGTGGGTACACTAATTGGTCTGTTGACTGCTTGAATAGTTAGTGGGTGGGTGGGTTGGTTGGTTGCCTGGTTCATTGGTTTCTTCCCTGACTTACTGGTCTGCTGACAGGTCTATAAATTCAATGGCTGGCTGGTCACTTTTTACATTGAGTGAGTGGGACATGAGTGAGCACCAAATGGGTAAAGAACAGACCTCAGGAGCCTTTTATGTCCCCCCTCCATCCTCAGGTGATGGCTTCTCTGATTGGATGACAGAGCGAGTTGACTTCACGGCCCTCCTCCCTCTGGAGGCCCCTCTGCCGCCAGGCACCCTCCCCCCACCCTCTCCAGCCCCCCCTGACCTGGAAGCCATGGCTTCCCTGCTCAAGAAGGAGCTAGAACAGATGGAAGACTTCTTCCTTGATGCCCCACTCCTCCCACCACCCTCCCCACCACCACCAGCATCCTCCCTGCCCCTGTCCTTGCCCCTGCCCACCTTTGACCTTCCTCAGCCCCCTGCTCTGGATACCCTGGACCTGCTGGCTGTCTACTGCCGAAGTGAGGCTGGGCCAGGGGATGCAGGCTTGGCAACCCTGCCTGCCCCCCAGCAGCCTCCTCCTTCTCTGGCCCCTCTGCCTTCACCCTCTCGCCCAGCCCCCTATCCTAGTCCTGCCATCACCAGAGGTGACCGCAAGCAGAAGAAGAGAGATCAGAATAAGTCAGCAGCTCTCAGGTACCGCCAGAGGAAGCGGGCAGAGGGCGAGGCCCTGGAGGGCGAGTGCCAGGGGCTAGAGGCACGGAACCGTGAGCTGAGGGAGAGGGCAGAGTCGGTGGAGCGGGAGATCCAGTACGTGAAGGACCTGCTAATCGAGGTGTACAAGGCCCGCAGCCAGAGGACCCGAAGCACCTAGGGTACATGCAGGTCCAGGCTGGAAGAGGGAGGTCTGTCATCCCTCTGCCCCCAGCTTCACTCCTACCCTCCATCCCACTCTTCTATCTCATCCATGTCTGGATTTCCCTACCTACTCCCCCTATGGTTATTTGGTTTAGTCAGTTTCTGTACCCTTTCAATGCAACTGAGGAACCAAGGCCCTCAGGGAATTTGAGAATACAGCCTGAACCCTGGTTTCTGGAGTCTAAAACAAGTGTGTTTTTGCAGGTAGTCCTAGTTGGGTTCGGGGGACTGTCAGGTCTGGCATGGAGGTAAGGCAGGAAGCCACTCAGGGTAACTGCTGATGAGAACCTAGTCAGGGAGGGAGGGCTTTAAGGAGGGGACATAGGACACACATGAGAAGTCAGCCAACGGAAGGGAGTCAAGTCCTCAGTACAGGAGAGATGTTAGCCAAGAGAGAAGGGTGGCTGTAGTTGGTAACTAGGGGCCATTTAGCTTTGGGAGAGAATCAGTGTTTGGTGAAGGTGTTAGGGAGGGATTGCATCTAGTGGGGGCTGATCCTCCAGGGGTTATGGGCACAAATAAAATGCAGAATTTCCTGTGGTCTGTGTGTCATATCTTGGAGAGGGGACGCTGGGGAGAGGGAGTCTCAGGGCACTCATAAAGACAACTGAGAATGAACCAAAGAGCTGGAACTGAAGCTCCACAATATGGGCCCAACATAAGAGAAGTTTAGTGTGATGGCTCATGACTGCAGTCCCAACATTTGGGAGATTGAGGCAGAAGGATTGCTCTAAGTTTGAGGCCAGCTGGGCTACAGAGTGAGCCCATCTCTAACAAAACAATGAAGCAAAACAAAAGGTAACTAGTAATATTTGTTCATTGTCAAGTACATCCACTTGGAAAGACCATGAGATATGACTGACCCATTAGTAGAGACATAAGTACCACATTGCAACTGAGGCCGATTACTGTTTACATTGGCAGCAGAAGAAAGACAAAGGTGGTACTAGCATATACACACTGAGAATGATACCATCAGACAGGGCTGGACCATTGCAGCAGTGGGCAGAGAGGGCTGGGCAAATGGCTCTAGTGGTAAAATGCTTGCTCAGAAAGTATGAGGCCCTGACTCCAATCTCCAGAATAGATTCTGCACAGAAAGCTAGCAGCTGAGAGTGCACATTGCTCCTCTGGAAGACCTGAGTTCAGTCCCCAGCAGCCATCTGGGTATTTCACGGCTCTGCACCAAGCAGTGTGGGGAATAAGACTGCAGTCAGTGAAGTCACAATCTAAGGAAACCGAGAGAAGACTTAAGGGGAATAATTGTTCTAATGGGACTGCCCTGAGGAAGCCCACTGAGGTCAGACACATGGCGCTATGAGCCCAAGGAACAAAGGTTCCAGAGGTTGGGCTCCCCAAAGCAAGGTCTGGCCTTGGTTCAGGTTTGCACCTGCAAAGTATTGTCTACTTGAGGGATCCAGTTCCCATGGTAACTGGC